ACAGTCAGAGGTAAAGATTTTTTTAATTAGTTTATAGTTCAATATTTTAATAATCGCTCTTCATGAACTTACATATATGTCTGTGGAGACCAAAATTAACAATACTATCATAATGAGTATCCAGACTGACAGCTGAATATACATATATTTATATTTCCATAATTCCATCAAAAGCTGTAAATAAAATTAGAATGATATGATCTGCAAAACATTTACATCCTTTATTTAATTAATGTGACGAGAGGAAAACAAAGTTACTTTAAAGTAATATTCTTGGGTTTTTTTGTTTGTTTTTTTTGTTTGTTTCAGAACAACACAGGCTTAAACTGTAGCAGTTAAGCACTTTTTTGCTACAGAGACATTCTGTTATTGCACTGTTTAGACACTGTGGTTTGACATTTTCATGCTAAAAAGACCATTTAGTGCAACCTATGTTTCTCCAAAGAAAGTTAAGCATGTGAACAGGTTAGAGTGTAGCACAATTGTAGTCTGTACCGGTAGGGCACTTATGAAGAGTGGAAATGTGGCCGGTTCAGATACCTGTGCAGGTATGGAGATGTCTAGGAGAAAAGACAGCTGAATTTTTAAACTGATTGTTTATTACAATCATGGAGACTGAGAGGATGCCTATGGAGAACAGGAGATAGAGATAGGTGAAAAAGATAGAGCCAGCAAAATAAAGTGGTTTTCAGAAGTGTTCCTGTGCCTATGCCATTAATGATTATTAGAGAAATTAAGAAACTAGAAAACCTTAAGTATTTAAAGTAAAGATTACTTCCAATTCATTGCATGGTGTTTTTCCTTTGCATTCTCTAGAGCATTTCTGTTTTTTTGGAAAAAAGGTTTGTGATTTTTCTGCTGCTGTTATATTCATACCCACAGACTTCAGTGTTCACATGTCTTACCAGAGCTAAATTACCTCTTCGTGACTTGATGATCTGTGTTGTTTATATAGATATATCATTTCAAACCACAGATTCTCCTTGGAGGCCCAATATTACAATCCCAGGTGATCTGAAGGAGAAGGAGTCTGTCACTATAACCTGCTCAGCTCTCACTCCCTGTCCACACTC